ACAGTTTTTCACGAAGCACCAGGTCAATATGTATATATTTCATTTTGCTTATTCTCTCATAACGCCGCTTTCCCGAAACAGCGGTTCTTCTGGAATGCCGATTTTCCTAGTCGCAAAGTACGAACGCACCCTAATCCTGATCTTCCCTTCGTAGCTGTGCCTTTAATGAGTGATTCCAAGCAAATAGACCTCAGGAAATGAGAACCCAAGACGAGTTAGCAAATGATAATTCAAGTAATCCTCCAAACTCATCGCTGTCGATGACGTAAAAAATTACTATAAATGATGATTCAATAGAGAGGTCGTAAATGTGTGAATTTGTGCGCGTGAAAGTTTTCATTAACATAATATTTTGAGGATTATGCTGTTTTTGATATTTCAGATTGACGGCTTCATATAGTGGTGCGTGAGCATAAAGTAGTTTGCTGATTTCCATCTAATATTCCCATTATGGCCACAATACGGAAACGTGCCGCGGATCCGAGTGAAGGCGGTGACGCACTGCCTCTGAAACGATCAATAACTGAGTGAGTTTCAGTTTTTACAAAATACTGCAAATGCAAGAGGTGCTCATATGGTGCTATAGTGGAAATTGAGGAGCAAATGAGCGCACCGATGCCGTTAGCGCTGAAGGCCCCAGCGCCGTATAGCGATGAGGAACCAGCTATCGCTGAAAGAAATCGTGTGGATTATACGAAGAAAATCACAATTGCGATGGCAAAGGCTAACACAGGTAGTGCAGTGTCCTTTATCGACAAGTAGTTTGAAGACTGGTCTTTCCTGCTTTGTCATTATTTATTCTGCCTTATTTATTCTGCCGTAGTTCGGCTTGGGGGGGTCACCGAATGGTCTTGGCTAAACTTGTACAGGTCACCTTGTGAAGACCTGTAAATTCATGTGGTTCGAAGTAGCTTACTCAAACCATTTCTAAGCTTCACAGGAGTTTGAGGTCTGACAAAAGTGGGATCGGTTAGTCAACATGAACCAACCAAATAATCAGTCAAAGTACAAAATGCCCCTCCAAGCCAAACAGCACCACCATTCTTCATCATTCGCGATCGTTTGCCCTATGTACTAAAAACATATGAAGCTTACGGTGTTCATCTATCCCTTCCCAATGTGCGCCTCTCTTGTTTTACCCAATTTCACGGTAGCATTTTGAACGCGACATGGCCTATAATGAGCGAGTCAACGAACGCCTCAGTGATCTTTCTTTCCTCTAAGAAGGTCTGAACCTCGTGTGTTGGCCCCGGAAACCTGGATGGCTCGGTTGGCATTGGCAGGTATCGGTCCAAAGTCAGCCAGCCGAGAAGACCATCCAGGATTTGACCACGAACCCTGTTTGGGATATACAGCGCCACATGCCACTAGAATCTCTCACTCTTTCTCTTCTTTCACTTTTATAACTTGTGATCTCGCCAGTTGTGGCAAAATTATGTTTCCAACTTGATTACATTTCTCTCTTTTTCTTACTGTCGTCCTTTTTGTTTCCTGTGTACCTTTCGCTAAGTATGCGCCAGTTCGCTGCAGATGGAGGGGCGTGTCAGGCAGTATAAGTGTGCCACAGAACCCGTTCGCTGCAAGTTTTAGAAGCGGGTATGCGGCAACAATTGGTAGAAAACGAGTGATACGAACGATATGAGATACTGTCACTTGCTCGCTTTAACAACTGGTGGAGAACGGGTTTGGCACCGCGCCAAACTCATCCCGCCTGACACGCCCACCGTCCGCAGCGAACTAGACGATTATTCTTCAGTATCATCCCTTTCATCGTAAAGCCTTCCTGACATTTTGCTTCGTTCACATTTGTTTAGATTCTTTATTTCCTACTGTTTATTCTTCTCATTCCTAGGCGGAGGGTTGTAGGCAGGTGGCCATCGTTTCCAACGTGTTGCGGCCCAGAGATCAAATCTGCGGCTTTTCGGCTCCGTTGCAGACCAGCCAAAATAGGGAATGCCAAATCCAGTACCAAGATTAATTTTGGAAGCATAAAACACTGGCTTTTTCATCGGCTGAACCTCTAAAGTCATTGTATAGGCCACATCACATGAGGTATGTCGCTACGATTCTGAAAGGAGGTAGAAAACGCGTCGTAGCCAACCAGAGTTTGATCAACGGCCAAAACTTCAACCTTTATTTTTCTGCCACATCTGTGTTCCCACGCACTCATTCTTATTTACCAAGCTTGCTCTATGTATTTCTTTGGCTCTACTGTGCTCCTGCATACCTATCCCTCTACTGCTTCGGAACGACATCTGAATAAACTTACAGTATAGAAGCAAGTGCCCCCCCCCTACCGTACGCCACTGGTCTTAAGAACAAATGCCTGACCTCATTCCTTGCAGGCCAGCAAAGCCTGTCATTCCATCTGGATCGGTGAACTGGTGCAAGATTTTTTGTGAGTGCAGGAAAGCTGGTTTTTGCAGTGTTGCCCCGAAAGTCTTGGTTAGCTTTATAAGCGTGGCAGATATCGAGAGAGAGAGAGAGAGAGAGAGAGAGAGAGAGAGAGAGAGGGAAGGGAGAGGCGAGAGGGAGAGGAGGGGAGAGGAGAGAGAGAGAGAGCAGACGAGAGAGAGCAGAGAAAGAGAGAAAGAAGATTTAAATATCATTTTGCATTTGCGTCATTTAACCCAATTAATATCGAGCCACTAGGTGTGTCTTGATAAAATCTTCACAATCGGCCAATCGGCTAATCCCCGAACTGCCTTCCCCGGAGGCTTTTCTTTATCTTCTTCTGATCTAGTCACTTCTACAGTCTTGTTCGCTGGGATCGATGGGGCGCGTCAATAGAGGATAGGTTCGGGAGCAGCGCGATTCTCCTCTTCGGGAAGCGGCAAGGCTATATTATGTCGTTCGTATCAGTCGTTTCCCACAAGTTGTCGCTTACTCGCTTAAACTACTGGTGGTAAGCGGGCTTGCGGCGCGCTAAACACAGCGTTACTGACACGCCCCTTCATCCGCAGCGATTAAGACTGTATGCGTCTCATTTGTCCGAGGAACTGGACACTTTAGCTTACGTCAGTACCGTTAGTACCTTAGAAATTGAACAGTTTTGAAGAAGAGCCGAAACTCTCTGTAGGGGTTACTCATGATCAAAGTCCTAATCGTGAATACAACATTTGTTTTTTTTTGCACTGGCGCGCTGTTAGGAGAATAGTGCGTGCCTCACTCGGTGCCGACGGTTGTTCCCAGACTCCATAGTGAACTGCGACAGAGGTTATCTATGCGTTCCCGATGTGGGCGGACGTATGGCTCATTCTTGGCGCTGCAACCTCTTTTGTGTCCGATCTGGCACCGCTAGTAGTAGATAGCCTTCACCATCTAATGATCTATGGAACTTTTAATCGAGGCACACGGTCGTTGGGGATCCTAAACAGGAGGGTCATAATTGATGGCTGGGAGGAAGGGATTGTATTCGGTCTTAAAAATTTTTTTTCGATATTCGACTTTACTTGCCGTATTCGTCTTCTGAGAGAAATTTGCAGCGTTGGGAAAAATTTTTCCCGGTCGTTGACTCCCCCCCCCGCGCTCAAGCAGTTCTGATCGTGTCGGAGGAAGACTAGGGCCTAGACAGGGACTCGTAGTCGTACCAGACCGAAATTCCGGTCAATTATGTCCCTGCTGCCTGCTTTGCTTTTCCCTTTTTGACCAAATTTCTGAGAAATTCTCTCAATGAAAGGTATGCATAGAGGGTTATATAGAAAAAAAGTAGAAAGAAAAAAAGGAGAAAGTAGAACTGTAGAAAAGAAATAGAAAAATAGAATGTATAGAAATTTCGGTCTAGAGGTTATCATAATTTTTCCATAGTCTGTTTAGCTGGTCGACCGGTGCGTATTTATGCGGATGGCATATACGATCTGTTCCATCATGGTCATGCGAATCAGTTGAGGCAGGCAAAGAACGCCTTCCCAAATGTTTATCTGATTGTTGGAGGTGATTCTTCTTTGTTTATTCGATACGCACATTATTAGGTGTAAAAGTGGTGTGTTTCAGTGTGTGGTGATAAGAACACTCATAAGTACAAAGGTCGCACGGTGACATCGGAAGAGGAACGATATGAAGGAGTGCGTCATTGCCGCTACGTTGACGAAGTATATCGGGATGCACCGTGGTTTTGCACTGTGGAATTCTTGAAGGAATTGAAGGTACTTCAAAATAAAAAATCCTTTTGTTCTCTGGTGCCATTATGCTGTCTAGACAATTTATGAGGCTAATAGCTGCCTCTGGAACTCACCAGTATCGGTTGCTGGCTTGATAAATTCTCGCAGGGCATATGAGTTGGTTCTCTCTGAACACTGAAAAGAGTATGGCCTCCGTCAATGGTGGTGAGGGGCAGAGCTCCGCGTTCGAAACTCTGGCTTATGCGGTATCGTCGGTAGCCAAGGCAATTCTGGTAGTGAAGAAAAAAGGCAGGGGAGAACAGGAAATGCCCTCTAGAGAACCCCTTGATCAACTGAGGTTGTACGTGCCTAAGGAGAAGAAAGGGTTTGTCGGACGAGTTCTCACTTGTTCGGGCGTGCTGTTCCTCCTTATCGCCTTACTCTTACCATTTGAAGTGGAAAATCAGTTAGTAACGGGGACAATCTGCAGCCAACAGCTATCTGTTGAAATCAACGTTAGCGTTGTGCCAGTCAAGGTAAGTCAGGCGGCAGCCTGCTTCAACGAGCGAGCTGGACGGATTTTCTCATATTCGGTCTAGTATTTTTGATGCTTTGAAATAGTACATCCTATATCGCCCTATATTAGAAAGGCTATGATATCCGAGAGGGGCGTGGAAACATTCGAATTTAAACGGCGGGCGCGCTGCCTCTAAGTTCCCAGAAATTCATAACACTGTCAACTCTGGATCAAATCTGGATTTTCAGGTGGACTTCATCGCCCATGATGCGATACCATATGTAGCGCCAGGAGAGGAAGATCTCTACGAGAAGTTCAGGAGGGAAGGTAATTTTAAAGCCGAAGCAATCTTTTTTCACTGATTTTCTGGCACTATTTACCCCGTCTAGCTGGCTCACTGGTCCGACTCTGCCAAATTTTTTTTGCGCGATATTTGGAAGAATGTAGATTATGTGACACCTGAACGGCGAAGTATGCCTACACAGCTCTTTTTGCGCGAAATTGGCTTAAACGTCACCGCCAGAAGTGCGCTCAAATCTAAGTGAATTCGCTGTGAACTTGTCAAAAGAGGTAGGTTGGCGCTCAAAACATGAATGTTATTTCATTCGTTTGCAAAAAAATCAAGGATGTGCGAACGAGAAATGTTCAGCAGAGCGCGCGCTTTTCACGCCTTTCTTCCGAGAAAATGGTCTTTCCTCTGCTAAAGGCTACGAGAGGCGACGTCAAGCATGCTCGTGTCACGGGCCTCAAGCGGATGTGTTATTGGTGTGGCAGTCACAAAGTTCTGACCCAAACTTGGAAAGACTGGGGCGGTGGAGGGTAAAATGCCGAGTTTCTCGTTAGCTTGATGTAAGTTTTATAAGCATGCGTACGTAACAGGTGTGCTATCAGAAATTGATTGGATTTCCAAAATTTCCAAAATAGTGAGTTCCGATTTGAAAAATTACAAACTTTTCTGCAAAACGTGAAAAATCTGTGATGTGGGGTAGCTTCACAAATTTCTGTGCTCACTTGACTTTTTGCTTTTTTAATAGCCCTTTCTCGCGAGCAGTAGGCAGCGCTTGAAAGATATGTTCTAGGCATACTGCGCATTGATTTTGCTTACAAGGGAGGTCGTTCAGGGCGTGGTGAGCTTTTTCAAAATGGTCTTGTGCATATTGTAGGGCACATACGAGGACCTCAAAACTGAGGTTCATTTTCGCTGCGCGGCTTGGTTCCTGCGAAAAAAAAACAGTAAAGAAATAGGTCGATGGTTCGGATCCCACCGAGGACAAAATTTTGCTTTTCTACAGTTTTTCATTTTTTGGATCCATGTTGTCTAATAATTGGGGTCCGTAAACAAAAACATTCACGATAACTGAACAATCCTACGTCTTATGGAAGGGCAAAACTTGCTTTGATCGGTCGAATTCGTTTAGTATGCAGCAGACTCGCTCTTGGTCGGCTCTATACCGGTGCCAGATGGCACTGGAACCGAAAATAAAGTCTAGAATCGTGATCAGGACTGTCGATTACCCCTAGGAGCAAGTTTTGAGCGAAAAATTTTTTTTGACTTTTTCGGGTTGTAGGTGGCCGACCATTTGGTCGGCAGTGTGAGCGGAGTCTCACATCTTCGTAACAGCGATGCGTATCGTTGACGCTACGGACCCCGGACAACCCAATAAGCAAACCCAAGAAGGTCAAAACAATTGTTTTGACCGAAAATTCGTTTTTAGTGGTAATCAGTGGCCCTGAGATCACAGAACGTAAACACGCTATGTCTTGGCATCCACGCAATTTGGCGACAGCATAGCGGTGAACGTTCCCTATATTGGTGTACATATCGAATTCAGTGGAAAGAAGATGTGGCCCCAAATTGTCTATAATTGACACCCCAGAAGTTAAGTGAATTCGCAATCAGATGTAGCCTATGAGGATCAACGTCCAGCAACAATCTTGTTCAATGGTGCGTAAAAATCGAAATAGTTGAATAGCACTGACTCATGAGGTAGCGAGCTACCAGAATGTGCCATAATGGGCAAATATCCGAGTTATTTCATGCGGCAGCGACTTAATGAAGCGAGAACAGCGAAGACCTGAAAAATTGCAAAAAAGACCGCAACGCAAGGGAGTGACGACCCGATCAACCCCACCTTGGCTGTGGGCGATTGCGAAAACCTTCACTCTAACACTTAGGCCATCGATGCTCGACGATGTGCCGCTAGCTTACCGTTGATGAAAACCATGCGATAGAAGCCGTTCACGCTTGAAGCAGTGACCGCAAGTTGGAAGGCTCGACTTGCGGCTATTTTTCGCTTCGATTCAAATAGCCCCTTTATAAGGACCCCCCACTCAGCAACTGGTCAAAGTTGCAAGTGAGCTACGCCGTATAGAGGCCCAGAGCGAAGCAGATTCCAAAGATTTCTTTTCACTCGTTTTTACCTTTCCTGGAAGCGCGCAGCGAAAACGAAGCACACTTTTCAGGCCCTTGCATGAGCCCCTACAATATGCAGAAAACCGTTTTCGAAAAGCGCACCACGCCCTGAGACGGACCTTCCGGCTTGTTCAGAGCGCTTGGATAGGCTGTGAACCAAAAGAATTAGAGGGTTTATATATTGGAATTCATATATGAGAAAAGGTCCTTCAAAATTATGCCTTGTGAGTAACTAACGCAGGAATGAGTTAAATGAAATATGCGGCTTGGTGAGGCGCAGTCTGTCAGTTAGAGATTAATTTCTTTCTGCGTCAGGCGCCTGCGTTACCCCGTTACAATTCAGCCCAACTCGAATTCGCTTTTTCTGGCAGTAGCCCTGTAATGTTATCTAGGGATTTATTCGTGAAGCCAATTGATGGCCTTTTTTTCCGAATGATTTCATAACCAAGTATTAGCAAAGTTCTTCAAAGGCAGTTGGCACGATGATTTGGGTGCTCGGCCTAAAATGCTAGTAGGGCGCTATATAGTGGGGAAATGGCGAAAGAACGGAGTGAAACGGTCAAAATCCTGCGAAAAAAGATGTCCGTGTGTAATTGCAATTTTATGGACGAGTTTACCCTAAGGCGTTTACTGAGATAAATCAAAGCGCGTACCGAAGGTACGGCTGGGCATACGGTGTACTCATATATCCATGCAGCATCACGACCGCTTCATACCAATGCCTTCGCTTCATAATTTGCTTAGCAAATGAATCAATTAGAGCGTCTGGAACAGTCGTCCATTTGTGGGCGGGCGGGCAAGGGGGCGTTTGGGACGTAAAGTTGTGGCTTGATAGCGCCCTTATAAGGGCACCTTCCCTGGAAAAGGCATTATGCAGCGCCTGCTCAGGGTCGCGGAATTCCGTCCTGCCAGGCGTATTAGTCCTGCTCGTCTTGGAGGATTTATCGTGCCAACTGCCTTTAAGCATAAAAGTCAGACTATTCTGTGGATCTCATGCCCTGTGTGGAGAGAGTGGGTGCCGCGGCCTGTAGTGGTATGCCACTTTCTCCGCTCAAAAACTGCACAGAAACTATCCTGGAGGGTGGAGATGCCCCGGATGGCTACTCCATATCCTGCCCCGTCACGGTCAGCCAAACGCACTACTTGTTTGCGCAATCTCACTTTTGGGGTCTTCACTGCTGAGTACGTTTAGCATTGCTGAGGATAGCGTGGACGGCGTATAGAGGCGGCACGTGGGTACTACTACCCTGCCGTCCTGTTACCGCACACTTATGAGCGGAAAAGTGTCTTGTCCTGCAGTTGCGTTCCCCTAGTACGTTGCAGTGGCCATCCTCGAAGATGAGAGTACACTTTGCCTTCAAAAGAAGTTTTGCGGTGCAGCGTGTCATAGAGGGCCTTTTCCACGCGATGGAAGCGCTCAGTTATATATGCAGTTAATCCATTAGAAACCGCCTTCTCTTTGGTTTCAAGGGGTTCGCTTTGCTAAGAATACATGTCGTTTGCCATGTCGTACCTCACTGTTTGAATTCGTAAAAGAGATGAACTGGATTAACACGCCTGTTATAGTTTTCGTAAGTTCTCCGAGTTTCATTCTAATTAAATCGAAAAATCAAATTCCAAAGGGAGTGTTTGGTCGTTCTATGGTGCATGCTGTAATACAGTGTTGCGAAATATTCGTACAAATATAGAGCAGATTAAAATAGAGTCAGAATAGTGCAAAAGAAATAGTAGCAGTGAATAGAAGCTTTGGAACAACTGAATACCTACAGTGTTGGTCTGAAATCTTTCCTGGGAAGTTCAGTACAGGGGGTAATTTTTTTAAAGTACTGTACCGCTTTCGCCAGTATCCGCTTGTTCACAGTAGTGCAAGCCGTAGAATCACTGACAAGCCGTCTTTAAAGACAGCTCCCGCGATAAAAGTCTCATGGATAGCTGCTTTCCAATTATGAAACAGCAGCTGATAAGTAATCTCCCAAAGAAGAAAACAGGCAAGAAGCGTCCTCCAGAACAACATAAACAAAATCGCTCCCTCACAGTCACACCTCCCTGCGGTCTCTGTGCAACCCCTAGCTCACAAATCTCTCTATCACATCTCGCAGTAGTTGATATCATCCAGTGCAAAAAAAGAATACAAAAAGAAAACAACAAAAACGCAGAGGAAAAACTCTTGGAAGGAAAAAGGAATTTTTATCAACGCGGTGTCTGAATTTGGGATTACGGTAGCGCACGTTTTGTGCGTCGAGGTTTTGCATCACGAAAATTGCGTCACTCGTGCTTTTTACGCGTTTCACCTCGCGAAATGAGTTGAATTGAATGTATATACCTCCAATGAGTAAACTGTAATAAAGGGAGCAGAATTATCCATGGGCATTAGCAATGCCCGCCGCCCCGACTAAGAACAACTGAGTGGCCTCCGTCGGAGGACATCTAGCAAGTAAGGCGGTCCAACTGAGCAGGCGTTAGAACTAGAACTTACAGCGGTAGCTCGCTTCTCGCTCGCTGTGCAGACGAATAGAGTGGGACAGTCTCTAGCTTGGGGGCTGTACTACTTGCACAAGGAAGGACGACCATGTACTACTCGAGCGCGGGGGCTGTCTTTAAATCATATATTCGCGTTAACATAGGGCACGATAATTTGGTGCTCAGTCTGAAATAGTAGCAGGGGTGTTGTTTAGTGGGAAAATGTCGATAAAAGCAAAGTAAGACGGTCAAAAATCCGCAGAAAACTTTTTGTTCTGCATGACATTGGACGAATATACGGTTGAGAATTTTGAACGAATCTTTCGAGTTATCGAACGAACGCTTCGGTGGACACGGCTATGGCTGCATGGGGTCTTTGAACAAGTTGAACTCAATCCCTTTGATCGCGCCAAATTTCCTTGGTATCCACTCTCTTCTCTCTGAAGAAGCTCATCTCCTGGCTCGCGACAGTTTCTTACGCCATCAATGCCTTTGCAGCTGCAGCTCTCTATTTCTCTGCGCTCTGTCGTTTCGAGCCAGAACCGTCTCAGAGTCTGATCGTCACGTAATCACATGCATATATGTGTTCATAACCCATGTAGCAACGCTTCATATCAGTTCTACTTCATAAATGAGTCGAAAGGATAATCAACATGATTGTCCATCCATATGTGGGCGCGCGGTTGCGGTGGGCGTCTTCGTCGGTATGTCGCATCTTGGTTAGGCGCTGTAACATGATTAGAAATGATCCTACAGAGCACCTGCTCGGCTGCTTAATATTCTTTCGGCTAGACGTTTACCGTATATGCCCTGTCGAATTATCGTACCACTTTCCTTAAGTAGGTTGTGTTGGTCTTGTCTTACCGTGGAAGGCGAGGCACTGCCTTAGTACCCCCTTCCCTTCCTCCAAATAGAAAAGGGTTTCTTTACAAACTTCAAGGGATTGTTGGGGAAGTCTTGTTTATTTAATTGGTTCATATTGATCTTTATGTGCTTGAAAAGTATTCAGTGTCGAATCGTCTAGAAATTTTCAGATTGATTGTTCAAATTTGAATAAAAGTCTATACAAAAGAATGCGGCGTGAAGGTATTTCGAAGGGTAATCTCCTTTGGAATGCTTTAAAATGTGAGTCAATTTTGACTGAAATATTGCCGTTTCAGAGATGTTCATTGAGACTCAACGCACCGAGGGAGTTTCGACCAGCGATGTCGTGTGTCGTATAATTCGTGACTACGACAAATACGTGCGTAGAAATCTTCAGCGAGGATATTCCGCAAAGGAGTTGAACGTCGGTTTTCTTGCGGTGAGTGTTTGCTATTTCCCCAAAGGTCCTACAATATATAGGCGGCTTCGTCTGCCTGTCTGTCCGGGAATCCGGCATCACCTGAAGAGCCTGTTTGATGGGTCGGAGTCAAAGGTGGGTTGAGAAGGACATGGACCAAGATGTGCGGAACACACATGAACTGAGTCAAGCCTCCCCCACTAAGGGTGAGGCTTGCCTCTAGCTAGGAGCGCGTATTTCGAAAATTCTAGTTCGGTTCTAGAAGAACTCGGAGAGCAAGGAAAGTGAAAAACGATAGGAGGTAGGCCAGCGGACGAAATGATTGGAATTTAATTACCTACTTAACAGTATGTGATGCATAGTTTGAATGGGCGGTACTTGCTACAAAAATTTCAAAAATTCGAGTTCGGTTTCAGACGAGCCCGGGAAGCAGGAAAAGTGGAAAACGAGAGAATAGGGGGCGGCGGACGAACTGATGGGGCACACTCACGGTGGGCGGGACGTACCACCAATGGGCGGTGTTCGCTTCGCAAAAATTCGTAGTTTCGTTCCAGAAGAGCTCGAGAGCGGGTAAAGGTGGGAAACGTGAGAAAGTGGGTCAGCGAATAGGAGGCACATTTTCCGATCCGACTGGCTCTCTCCCTCTTGGGAATGTCTAGGGGACGACACCCTTCACTCGCAAAAGGAGTATCGGCCGTGGTGATCATTTTGACAGAATATGTGCGCAGCTTCTCAGAGAATAATGTGAAGTTTTGTTGCGCTGATAAGCTTGGGAAAGGCATTTCAACATTTCAATAAACCCTTCTACAAAATTGGGAGTATCTTCTTCGAATCGAATTACCATTCCTAAAGTCCTCTCTGGTCCTCTCACACTGGAGCCCCTTCCCCCTTGTTGTTTACGCAGAACCCTTTTTTCCACGACAGTGGTTCTAGGTTTGCTTAGGGAATTCTTCAAATGCCCTCTCCAAGATTACTAGCGTCGTTCCTGCTTCAAGTGATGATGTGCCGATTAGTTCTTTCTGGGATAAGAAGTGAGATAATGTGAGAAGGCACACCGGTCACGAGGGTCCATCACCTCTAGTTGTCGCGATATGGGCCCTCACGTCGGTGTGATCTTTCTGAACAAGTCTACTGACATTTGAGTTACCTCACGGGTGGACTACTCGGTTTTTTGTTTTCTCTTTTTTCTCATCGTATCAAGGCTGATGTTCTGAAACTCCTACAAATCAGCAAGTGACGTGGTCCACTCGCTTTGTAAATTTTCAGGCCAGCAAGTATTCAGATACAAAATAAAGTCGACAGCCTGAAGGAAAAAGGCCTGGAGTTCATTAACAATTGGAAAAGCCGATCAGATGAATTCATTCGAGACTTCTTGGATACATTCCATCGTGATGGTCGATTGAATGTGAGCATTCATGTTTCTTCTTTAACAACTGCTATTATTACAAAAAGGTTGTGTTATGGGCAAAACACTTGATCTCAGTGGGACTTGCCTCACCTGAGCGGTGAAAGCTACTGTTACGTCACTGAGACCACTGCTTACACTGACAGCTGATTACCATTCTATTTATTCTGGTATTGAATTTTGCTGCCAATGCCAAAGATGAATATTTTAATATCAGAGAGGATACATCCTTTCCCGTAACATCGATTCAGCCTCCCGTGTAAGACCACGTTCATAGGAACACGAGATTCGGGAGACCACATGGAAAGGAAGGTTCAGTTTTGTTCACTACAAATGGCCATGCGTATCAGAAAAAAAAGGGGGGGGGAGGGTTCGACGCGGTGTCATTTCGTTCCCCACCAGTTGTTGTCGCTTGCCCACTTCAACAACTGATGGAGAACGGGCTGGCGCCGCGCCAGACTCAGCTCCATGACAATCCCAGCATCTGCTGAGCACATGGCTGTATAGTGATCAATTGGAGAATCGGTTACAGGTAGAAGGAAGAATCAGTATTGCTTCCTATGCTGGTTTTTCATCCGAGGGGTTGAGCCAGTGTCGAATCTCTTTGTTGTCGGCTCTCCTCCTCCGGTATCTGCGCGGTTCGAAAAATTGCTGATGAAAGCGCTGGCGGGCGTGAGTCACGGATCCCAACTGATCCTTTGTCGCTGGTCTCCCGAATCGTGAGAGCTGATCACAATCGCTGGAGCATATAATACGGTTCAAGAGCGCACCTACATGTGCATGATGTGAACAAATTGATTATGGTCACTTTCACTGCAGATGCTGAGGCATGTCAGGGGTCTGGTTGCTCGAAATCAGCTTTTTTTTCTCCAGCTGTTGTCGCTTGCCCTCTTCACCAGTTGGGGAAGAACGGGTTGGCGCAATTTCTTTATGCGGGTAACATTTTAGGTGCTGCAAAATAAGAACCGAAGATGATGACGAGGGCTTGCGTTTCCTTAGTTTTTTCAATTTTGTTTTATTTACATCTACATTCGTTGTTCTTCATTTCTAGCCTTTGTCATCTTCATCACCTTCTATTCGGACTTTGAAGCATGAGCAATACCTCAAATGTTAGGAAATTGCGTTTTGCTTGTATTGTCATGTTGTCCGTTTTTATTGTCATGTTCTGTGGGAATGCGCGGCCTCTGAGGGATATTGCAGAAGCAGCACAGTTGCTCTTGAGTTCTAGCCCTCGTCATCATCTTCGGTTCTTATTTTGCAGCACCTAAAATGTTATCCGCATAAAAATTGCGTTGTACTTGTATTCCAAAGCGCAATTACAGGACTTGGCAAAAAGCCAAGAGAGCTGCACGCGACCGCGCCGCGCGGACGGTGTTAGTAAAAACGTGAGTTTGCGAAACGGGCGGTGTAGCAAGGAATTACGACTTTCCCACGGCCCCGTACTCTGACCCCGTGCAGTTTTGGGCGGGGGGACCACGACACATCGACAGCTGGGGGGGCTGATAGTCTCATACACCCTCAATGTGTTTGAGCTGTGCCTTTAACGTTGTATATTACTAAGGACACGTAGTATTGCAGGCATTCGGTGGACGTTTGAAAGGACTTGTATCCCGCTCGAATTCTCCATCACCAACTCCCGAACATTGTACCGTTGAAGATCAGGACGAGCTGGATGGCGCTCCAGAATATGTGAGGCGAACGTACTCGAATGGATCATCAGGATCTTCACCGCATAGTTTCTGAGTGTGTTGTTCTTTTGTGGTGCTGACCAACGTCAGACGTTTTACTGTATGTTTTTATTGTTTCATCATATTTCATTGATAACTCCATATCCTAGCTTGAGTTTTCGGCGCTAGTCCAATGATTCCAGTTCACGTCACGTCATGCGGTTTTGTGTCCATCCCCTTCTTAATCTATACACCTAGATGCCTAGGTTCATTGGACCAGCGCCGAGGTTTTTTTTGCGGAGGAATATTAAATTCGTTCTTTTTTTCGTTTTTGGATGTCGGATGAGTGATGGAGCCAAACTCTCATAGTTGATTTTCGAAGGTTTAATGAACTGAATCTTTTTCCAGGTTGGGAATAAGGATCTTATTTCCATAATCACTTTCTTACTTAATCCGACAGCTGAAATCAATAACTCTGCTAATTATAGCTATAATCATGACTTATGTAAAAATTGAGATCTTGCATGGTTAACCCTGTTGTGCTCCAGAGTTCTATTTTAAGAAACAGACGTCTTCCCATCCAAAGAGTGCTGCTTGAGTTCAGCTTCATGATTTTGGATTGCTGTTTGTCTAGAAAGTAAGACCTAGTTGGAAGTTTTGAGCTCTACTGCAGTTGACGGGTGCCACCAGGTGTATGACGAAATGCTCTTCTTCTCCCAGTGTCGGCCCCACAAGAGCGCTGACTACCGCTGTACGCTCGCCGCCTAAGGTGCAGAGGGCGCAGCGTCACTACCGTCAACCGCAGCAGCGCAGTTTTGTTGGAACTGTTAAGTTAAACGTCCTTTCATGAGCATCGATTCTTCTCTGGTGAACTCAGTTCCCAACATGCCATCAGAGTACGTCGTCCTTTCGCGTTGCCTTTTTACAGTCTCGACGTGTCTTCAGTTGTTTCTGCATTTCAGTAGTCGCAATCCGTTCGCTTATCAATAGATGCTGCCGTAACTATCTATCACTGGGTCTTCAACTGTGTTCGTGCACCAAAATACAATTGTGGTGATTTACTCAGGAGCCGCAATAGGCAATGAAATGTCCGTAGGAAGTTTTGTGCGATGTAAAAAAAATGACGCAAAGCTGAGAAATTTTTGGCATGAGCGTGGTTGGAGGCCTGATACTCCGTCTTGTCTTAATATAATTGTTATGGATTCAAGAAGAGAAGTCTATTATTTGGTGACATTGTTTTCGCTAGCCTGTCAAGGGTTTTGTTTCTCTCTACGTCATTAGAAGAGTTCTCTTACGATTGCTACTAATAAATGCCCCTACATGCCATAATGTTCGGGTAATAGTGGTTGATGTAGTGTCTTATCAGCTTCTGCTAACAATGTATTGTAAATGTGGCTAATCAGTCAGTGAAAGACATTTCGTGGGTGATTGTATGTAATAAAGTTTTTGAGCCGTGTTTTTCAAGGTTTCCAAGGGAACATGCTATGAAATTGTTGGACTTCGGTCGGATTGGATTTACGCGAATCCCGTGGGTACACACTTCTTCGGTTGGAGCATCAGAGGGGTCGGCGGCAGAACAGTAGACGAAGGAGTGAACTGGAGTGAACAACCTGTTGCAGCCTGCTGATCACTTTTATAGCATGTGGGTGGGACTTATGAATTTTCCGTTCGATCACGACTGAACATTATAGATCATTTCGGTTGAGACCATGGTAATAAAACAATATCGACTGGATTCGGTCAAGGCAACAAGTGAACATTAGCAGTGACAAATCAAACAATGAAATGAAGACTCAAATTGACAATATTATGCACGAGGCGCATGTCCGGGCTCTGGAGCGATTTGCAAACCGTGCTGTCCATTTTGTAAAATTGTAAAGTCGCGTAAAGTGTAAAGCTACCTGGTGCAACCAAATTCATTTTGTATGCCGACTTTAGGGTGCAGTGCCAATTGCAGCAAGGGAACATTTCATTACGATCTTCATTTCTAGACCACTTTCTAAAACCATTCTTGTTGGATGCTGAAGATGCAAGGAAAAGTTTGTGGAGCAAGTAATGGTGATTTTTGCTGGACTTACACTTGAAGCCCTTGAGGGATGACCTGAATACTTTGACAATTTGCACAGTCGCCACTCGTGGAAAGTGGTTCTGCTGAGCCGGAGTCATTTTGTTTATTTGTTACCTGAGCTAGCTCATGTGGGTTCATACAACATGAGTCGAGAGACCACTATACAAGAAAACTACCTCAAATTTCCAGAGGACAAGGACAGTAATACAACGAAAAAGGAAAAGTGCAATATTTTTTGAAAGAAAAACAACGGGAAGGACCGTAAACGGTAAAAGGTATAAAACACTCGAGTACATGAGGAGAAGCCATCATGGATTAAGGTAGCCATCACTGAGCCAGCAAAAGAACGGATTGTGAAGTGGAGGAGTGATGTTTTTTCATTTAATGCTGAACACGATAAGCTTGCATGCATAACAAAAAGATGAAAACGATTGTTGAGTTCAACTGTAGGCCGGACGAATTCCGCTGCACCAATCCAGGGATTGAAGACCTCGCAGTGCAAAACGTTTCAGGAGCTAGACCAGTACGACCCTGGAGGAGTTTGTGGAACATTAATGAACCGAACATTTTCCCACAGCAAAGAGGCAAGGGCCAAAAGTGCTGTTCCTCTCTGCACGATTGAGAATGTCCTTGTAAGTTACCCCCCCCCCCCCTGATAAAGTCGGTATAATTGCGTCAGCACGGACTGAAAATCGGTGTACAAACTCGAACAAAGGTCCAACGTAGTTTCTGTAAGCAAGAAGGAGAGTGGAGCAGTTAGTACTTGTTGGAGTTGAAAGGCTTTAAACAATCTACAGGGGGGCCAAAAAAAGTCATTCCGGCCGAGTCACATATGAGCGAAGTTTTCGCAGCCCAGACAGAGGAAGTGGATATGAGTACCAGGGCGGAAAGATACCCAAGATCTTCCTCTATAAGCAGGAGCCGGCTGCCGCCATTCACCTTCATGTACACCAAAATATGAAGTCATCTCCAGTCGCGGCCTGAGTGGAGAACGCCTTTGGAATTCACGTGGCCTCCAAACAGCTGCGGAACTTCTTGAATGAATCACCCATGGATAGCTACCTGGAGACCAGTACTCTTGATCTGCAAGACCTCAAACATCGAGCAGCTCCGGCAACGTCGCTACGGTCCAGGACATCATCTTCACCCCATTCACCAAGGCGCGGGTTGATGGTGTGGACCGGCCGTACCTGGAATGGATGAACGATATTTTCTTCGTGGGCCCCAGACTGAGGGTGTGCGCTGGTGGCTACATCGAGCAACTCGAGGAGAATATCCCATCTTCATGTCGTCGCCCGCTTCTTGGAAACTTTGTACTGCTACAGGATTGGGTGACAACACATTTAATCGAAGGGCGTTGGAAAAACTTTCGCCTACTTGGAATGGAAGAACGTTGAGTACCTGGAAAAATGAGTATTTAAGCGGGGGTCCTGAACTAAACCCCCTCAATTACTCGGTTCGGGCGGAGCTCAACAGGGTGGTCTACAGTGGCGGAGAAATCAACGATCTCGCTCAACTCCGGTACCCACTCACTTTCGCGCGGCCGAATCTCTCGATGGCGCTCCTCCAGAAGGCTGTGGCGGAGTATCATTATAGTATTTAATGTGCTCTTTAATATGGTAGTAAAAATGTCCGATAAAAATTTAATAAAGTGTAACTTATAGCGCCTTGAAAGTCATGGAGGCAAAATGACTTTTTTTGCCCCCCCCCCCTGTATATGTTGCGCGTTGTCAGACCACGATTGGCTGTAAGGTCGCAGTGACGGTTGAAGGACAGATCGATAGTTGCCGAGCAGCCACGATCATTAAGCTGAAAAGTGAGATCAAAAAGCAATTGATTTTGTAGGAGTACCTGGGATTTCGGGGTCCGATATACAGAGCCTTCGTCTTCTCCTTAGTGATGGAGGTCCCTCAACTGCCCAACCAAAAGCCATATCAATGGCCGCTTGATTGGATTTATTCACACTAAGAGGGAAGTGGTTACAAATTTTTGAGTCATCGGTGCCGCAACACTTGACGCCCACACGGCATGTCATCGCAAACCAGTCTTAGCTATAAATGTCAAACAGTGTGAGTGACAAAACTCTTTGAAACCGCTAGTAACAGACCTAGGAGAGGGGAAAATGAAGCCTATTTGTACAGGAACTTGCCGATTGGTGGGAAACTGACAGAAGCGTTGATTTGAGAATGAATACCAACCTTGCATAGCTTGGTGAGGAACGCGACATTCTAAATTTATCAAAAGTTTAACAGAAATCCCGATGAACAAAATCAGTAGAGTGTTCTTACTATTAGCTGAGGGTCCAATCATTGAATCTGTAAATAAGTGACTGTCACATGGTCGTAATTGCAGACGTGCCCACTCAGAAACCGTGGTGGTTCGGTGCAATGACATTCTATGAACAGCACACGTCTAGGAACGTCTTGGACGTACCTAGATAAACATTAGTCTACATTATGTCACATAAAAGTCGCCACAAATGATACTGGAGTGAGAACATGATGCTATATCACTGATAGCCTTGTGAAGCTGATGAGTGCAAGCAACTGAGCAGGGGGGCGCTTCATAAGCTCCTAACCAACGTCTCAACCTTTCATACTTGAGCGGTAACAGCGGAATATGTTGTACTGGGAGAACCAGTACCCTAGGAGTGTTTGCAGACTAGTATTTGGGGTCGAGCCATATTCCAAAAAGCGCAATTATGTCATAGCGACTAAAGGCAAGCTTAAAAAGAATGTGCTCTTTGCGCTCAGGAACATATCTGGAGCTGACAAGTAGGACGTTCAATGTTCCCGCACTTTGCTTCCTACCAACAATCCAGAGTGGCTCCGTACGAAGGAAACAGTAGTCGTATTAGAATGAGAAGCGATGGTGGAAGGTGTCAACACAGCGGCGGGAGAAGAGCCAGAGACGTGCCGGCCGATACGACCTACTTCATGCTCAGCATGCGACCTTTCCTTCACTGTCTTAGCAAGGAAAGCCTGAAAAATAATTATAATTGAAGCGAG